GGCTGACGCATTTCCAGGACTTGCCTCCTCCTCAGAGTTGGTCAACACCGTGCTACGTGACTGTCCGCAATAGGGAGTGTAGACCTCAAATAGGCTGACGCATTTCCAGGACTTGCCTCTTCCTCAGTGTTGGCTCTGAGGAAGAGGCAAGTCCTCGGAACGCATCAGCCTATTGGATGTCTACACTCCCTATTGCGGACAGTCACGTAGCACGGTGTTGACCCAGCTGTTCTTTTATGACGTGCCTTTGACTTTACTGTAATTCACTAGGGCCTGTGTGCCCTCTCTTTGTTCTTTCTTCATTCAGTATATTTGGATTTCCCTGGTCTTTTGAGGGCAGCAAGGTGTGCATATTCCAGGACATTCATGATGTGGTTCTAGCCTACATTGAGCCCATCCACAAGTGCAGGAGCATTTGTGTGTGATCGATCAAAAAAGAACTGTTGGGTACTTGCAGATGCCCCCTTTTGTAGACTGGGTGATGTTGATAGTGGTGGGTACCATAGTTGACGGCAAGAGATGAACCAGTAAAGGTGATGGATAGTCATGAAATACATCTTCATATTCTTATGAATATTGGTTCATCAAGTTTGCCATATTGATCAAATCTTCTTGTAGTGTTACCTGCAGTCCCTACCAACACTAGATCCATCATCCTGTCTATACACGTCTCGTAGACAATGGGTCTCTTTGAATGGATACCAAGTTGTCTTCACCATTCTGATGATCTCTGAGCAGACCTAGGATTGGTTCCACTCTGAGCCTTGGGAGCGACCTGCGTTCCTTTCTGCATGGAGCTGTATTCTTCATGAGCAAGTCTACTAGGTTGCTGATTCTGTTATTTCATCGTCACTCACCACCTTAATAGATGTAAATCATATCACGTCCTTCATCATACATCATATTTTTGTCTTAACACAACACCATAAGGGCTCTCCCATCTTTCCTCATTTCATTTTTCCTGGTGGATAATTCCATAACTTGGCTCTTGTCACTCTAGACACCACCTTCCAGTATTTAGCCTTCAAAGACTTTCACTGTGTCCATTGAGGGCAAGGTGACAGGTTCTCTTTTCACTTCAAACCTTTACTCATGGAAACATAATGCACCATACAGTGTAACTGATTTGTTAGCCTTTAAAATCACACTTACAAGGAGGAAAATCAAATGCACATAATAAAACACTACCAGGTGGCATGTATGACGTTTTTACCGTCACTTCTAATTGATGTGATGATGCAAGTACGTAGTTCTGCTCTACACGTTTCGTCACAGCTGACTTCTTCTAGGGCCCTGGAGGAAATCTGTCTCCTCAACCAGCATAACTTCTCCTTTCACTTCAAACCCATATCGAGCCCTGGAACAGGTCAGGTGTGACGAAACGTGTAGGGAGGAGTTGTGTGCATGCATCAACTGGGAGTGACGGTAAAAACGACATACATGGCAGCTGGGAGTGTTGTTTTTTTTTTTTTTTTTTTTTTTTTTTTTTTTTGTGCATTTGATTTTATTCACTGTAAGTGTGATTTTAAAGCCTAATCCGTTTTTTAAGGGTTTTACGCGATGCGGTGCATTTATATTTCTCATGTTTCCGTGTGCATTAGTTTGAAGTGAAAGGAGACGTTACACTGGATGTGAAGTGCCGCCAGTATTTGGAGGGTCATATATAAACCAGCTTGTTTGACCTTGCTTTAATCAGAAGGTCACTTACCTGTGGTAGGCATACATCCGATTCTCTTAAGATAGGGGTGTCAAACTCCATGTCATCGAGGGTTGTATCAGCATTGTGGTTACCCTCAAAGGGCTGGTTGTATCTGTAAGACTAGATGTCCAGAGCACCCCACCCCCCATTACATCAGATGTCAAGAATCTCACGCCCTCCCTAACATCACCGTGCACCCACTTTGGGGGCAGAGCTGGAAAGCAGAAAGTGCAGGGTCTGGAGGAGGACCAAAGGAGGAGTGGAGTCAGTTTCCAGAATCTGCTGAATGCTGAGACCAGGGGCGGCAGAGATGAGGAGGTGCTGCAGCTGCACTGAGAGGTGCAGGAATTTAGCAGAGGAGTTCTATTCTCCTCTCTGCTGCCACCGAGACAAGGTGGGGGTGGAGACAAGGGGGGTACCTGCAGGAGAGGTGCAAGGGCCACATGAAATGGCTTGGAGGGCTGGATTCGGCCCACGGGCCTTTTTTTTTTTTTTTTTTTTTTACACCTGTGTCTTAATGGGTGATGGTGAAGATCCTTGAACACTTACCTGTTCAGAGGAGGAATGTGGGCATTTTCACTTAAAGCAGAGTTCCACTCACCCTGAAAAAAAGAATAAAAGTCAGCAGCTACAAAACCTGTAGCTGCTGACTTTTAAAAAATAAACCTTTACCTGTCCCACGGTCCCGTGTTGTGTCCCCTGCAGTTCGGTTTACCGGCCGTCCTGTGTTCCAGGAGGCCGGCATCTTCAGTGTGGGCTGTGACAGCTTGCGGCTTCACACTCGGGTACCCACTGCGCATGCACGAGTAGCATCGCGCTTCATGAATGATCCTGTAGTCTTCTGGGACCTGTTACGTGACCCAAAAGACTAAAGGAAGGGGGGGACACTTTTTCCGTTTCCGATCACCTAGGTGATTGGACCGGAAGTGGGAGCGGGTACCTGTCAAATTTGGGTACCCGCTCCCCCGCCCCCCCAAAGGTGCTAATCCTTAATGGGGAGCAGTCCTTAAAGCGGAACTTCCCCTTTTAGGTGGAGCTCCACTTTAAGGTGAAAAAAATCCTCCAATGTTTACACAAAAGGACTTTTTTGGGGATTTCAAATTTAGTTTGTGTTTTATAATTAAGAATTTGTTTTAAGTTTTGAATAGTGCAACACCATATTTATATATGTTACCATACTATGACAAAAATGATCTGACGGTGTGTTTGCAGCTATAGTTTATATCAGGGCTTGAAATTTCCACTCGCCTACTCGCCAACGGCGAGCGAAAATTGTGGTGGGGGCGAGTGTGTCCCCCAGGGCAGGGGCGTATCTACCTTGAGGCACCGCTCCCCAGAAGAAGGGACCTTTTGGGCAGCGGCGGACAGAGCCATGTAAGGCCACCAGCAGAGGGGTCGCACCGGTACCCTTGCAGTGGCCCGGACAGCAGGAGAATCGATGCGGGGGACGGCAGTTGCAGAGTGATGCTCCTGTACCTCTCCCTCCAGCTGCTGATGAGCCGGGACCAGGGGACAGCCTGGAGCAGGGAGAGAAGTGTCGGAGAGGAATAAGCCCGGAGCAGGTGAGCTGTGCTGTGTTCTGTGGGATCTCCCTGCCTCTCCTCCCTATACTGACAGATCATATGGGGGCTGCAACCCCCCTTCCTGCTGCCTGGAGATCAGCAGCCCTTGGAGAAGGTGTTTGTGTGCAGCCCCAAATGATGTGAGAAAGGAAGAAGGAGAGAGAGGAGGGGGGAGAGAAGGGGGGGGGGGAGGGAGAGGAGGAGGAGGAGGGGGGGAGAGAGAGAGGGGGGGGGGGGGAGAAGGGGAAGAGAGCGAGAGAGAGAGAGAGAGAGAGAGAGAGAGAGAGAGAGAGAGAGAGAAGGGGAAGAGAGGGGGGAGGGGGGGAGAAAGAAAGAAGAGGAGAGGGAGAGAGAGCGGGGGGGGGGGGGAGAGAGGTGAGAGAGAGAAGGGGAAGAAGAGAGGGAGGGAGAGAGAGAGAGAGGGGAGGAGAGAGAGAGAGGGGGAGAGAGAGAGAGGGGGGAAGAAGAGAGGAGGAGGGGGGGAGAGAGAGGGGTGGGGGGGGGGGGGAGAGAGAGAGAGAAAAAGGAGAGGGAAGATGTGTATTTCTGTGTGTGTACATGTATCTGTGTGTATATGTGTCTGTATTTGTGTGTGTGTGTGTGTTTACATGTGTCTCTCTGCGTGTGTGTACATTTGTGTGTATGTACATGTCTGTGTGTGTGTGTGTGTACAGGTGTCTGTGTGTATGCGTGTCTGTACGTGCCTGTGTGTGCATACATGTGTCTGTATTTGTGTGTGTGTGTGTGTGTTTTACATGTGTCTCTCTGTGTGTGTGTGTATGTACATGTGTGTGTGTGTGTTTACATGTGTCTCTCTGCGTGTGTGTACATTTGTGTGTATGTCATGTCTTCAGGTGTCTGTGTGTATGTGTCTGTACGTGCCTGTGCGTACATACATGTGTCTGTATTTGTGTGTGTGTGTTTACATGTGTCTCTCTGTGTGTGTGTGTGTGTACGTGTTGTGTGTGTGTGTGTTTACATGTGTCTCTCTGCGTGTGTGTACATTTGTGTGTATGTACATGTCTGTGTGTGTGTGTGTACAGGTGTCTGTGTGTGAGTTTGTTGGTGGCGAGTAACTCTAAGGCCTGGCTAGTAGCTCAGGACTTGAAATTTTAAGCCCTACTTTATATGACAATTTTTCACAACTTTTGGTACACAAGCTCGTTTTTGATTTTTTTAGGTTCTGTTGACAGAGCTAATCCTGGAGGGACAAACCTCTTGAAGAGCAAAGCAACAGGTTCACTGTAATGACCCTCTTGTCTGTAGCCCGTATTTTCCTTTCCTTCACTCCTCCAGTACTCTGTTGACCCACCAAGAGCGTAGAAAATGCCCGGTACTTCCAGGTATGGAAGAGCAAGTAATTCAGCCCCATTTCTCCCATGTGACATCCCTGGGCCTATCACCAGACACCAGCACTGTCACATGGGGAGGATCCATGGCCCTGTGTGAGCAATGACTTGAGGGACATGTACCTTACACAAGGTGACTTCTCTTTCCAGCTGCCGACCAATGGTGGGAGAATGAGAGAGGTTAGTAGGTGATATCGTGGAGGGAGAATTTTTCGCTTTGCCCTTCATGGGAAAACACGGGTTTCTATATATCCCTTGGAATAGTACTGTCCAATCAAATATATTTTTGATGGAGTTTTTTGGACACTAGTGTCTTCTCGCCATGGATCTTTCATTGTTTTACCGATCATCGAAATAATATATATATGTTCTGTGGTTTGCAGTTCGAAAATGTCTGCTTTGTGGGAGGACGTCTTCAGCAACGCACAGCTGCTAGAGGAGGTGGCGCCCATCGCTGTAGATTTCGCCTTGCTGCAGGGTGTTCTTATGAGGACAAAGGAGAGTCCAAACTCTTCCGATGTAAGTGATGTCTGTTCACATATACAACACAATGTACAGTATATGAACCCTCTTTAGAACGAGTATTTCAAAGGAAAGTGTTGCTATCAACCAACATTCAGATTTAGGGCTTGTTCACGTTAGTGGTTTAGGGGCGGTAAAACTCCATTGTTGAGCCACGTTTTCACCTCTCACCACCAACCACTCCCCCTTTAGCTGTAGAGGAAGCCATGCTTTGCTTCGCAGCTACAGCAGGAATTCTACCCCTGTTGCTTTTTTGTGAGTGTGACGGTAGTCTCTTTGGGTGGGGGGGCCCATGGAACCCAGCTCACTTTGGAGAGGTGGGGAGACCCCTGTCTCAGTTCTCCATATCCCTATATTATGTGTAAGTCACCCTGTGCCCATTAGGGGTACAGGGTGATCTGTCCTAATATTGGGGTGGGGGGTTGTTGATTGTTTGATGTTAAGTGGTTGCATCCCATTGTTCTATTGTGTGTCTGGCTTGGGAGCAAACTATTATGGGATGTATGTGTTTATGTGTATTGGCTTGGTGGGGGGTGTCTCAAGCAAAATGATAGAGACTGTGATTTATAAAATACACGGGAAAAAATATTTAGGGTAACTAAATACCTTGGTTAGAAGCTAAGACCTCTGGGTCATGGATGGAGGAAGGGGGAGTGTAGCAGAGAATCGTGTAGGGACATGAGTACAGGAAAATATCCTGTATTCGGGTGTGTTGGGGAAATGTTTTTGAATTATTATGCTTTATATTATTTTTGTTTTTTAGGTTGTGAACTTTGCCCCTTTCACTCTGCTCCCTTCCCCAGTGCCCAGATCCCTCTTTGAACAAGCAAAGTCTGTACAGGAAGATTTTAATCTCCTGGTGGATCGGCTCAGTCAGAACCCCACATTCCTGGAACAGACACTCGCCAGGTATATTTGAGCACATTTTTGCATGCTGCCTGGACCAACCCTTTTGCCAACTTATACCTATAAATGATATTGGATGGTCCTCCAGCCCTTTCCTCCCCAGCCTGACTGTCCCTGGCCCGCCCCATTCATTCATTCATTCATTGGATTTCTGTACTTTCAATCATGGAGGATCGGTATCACATGTTACCTAGGGTATGCAAATGAAGTCTACTTAGGAACGCCCACTCCTCCAGAGTGCCTCAAAAATTTTGGGGGAGAGATTTTATATGCTAGGGTGTAACTTTAATTTTTTACAATTAAAAAATATATTTATTTTTTTTTAACTTTTTTTTTTTTTTTTTTCTTCACATAGGAGACAAAATAATTTTTTGGGGTGAAAGGTTGTTTTTAATGAGGTGACGGACTGCTTTGACAACTCATACTAATTGACATTTTGAATGTGGTCAGTACAGTAAAATTTCCATTGCACTGTGGACATTTAAAAAATTTTTTTTTTTTCTTGTTCATCCCTCATCTGTGGCATGCCGATGCTCGGGGACTGTGTTGTAGATCCGTGCAACTGTGCTTGCCATAGGCTTGAAGACCTTAAAAAAAAAAAAAAAAAAAAAAAAAAAAAAAAGAAAAAGGTTTTCTTCTGTCATAAGATTGTTGTCTTGTGGTCATTTTGCAAATAATCATTTCCAAGTGTTGTAACTTGTAGGATCCAAACAGATCTTATGTAATGGAATTGCTGAATTCTTAACGGATTCTGAATTGAACAGTCATGGCCAAAAATCTTGTCCCCCTTGCATTTCGGTCAGACAATGCACCACTTCACCCAGAAAATTGTTGCAATTACCAATGTTTCGGCATTCTCATGTTTATTTCTGTGGTTTGTATTGGTATAGCACAAAAAAAGTGTAGAATCAAAAAGCCTGAACAAAACTCTGACACATTCCACGCAAAACCCCAAAAATGGACTGGACAAAAGTGTTGGCACCTTCAATGTAATATTTAGGAGTACACCCCTTGGAAAAATAACTGAAATCAGTGGCTTCTTGTAACCATCAATGCGTTTTTTCCACCTCTCTACTGGAATTTTGGAGCACTCTTCCTTCACCAACTGCTCTAGGTCCCTCAGATTGGAAGGGTTTTGAGATCTCTCCACAGGAGCTCTATGGGATTGACATCTGGACTCATTGCTGGCCAGTTCAGTCCTCTCCGGCGCTTAGTCTGAAAACCATTTCTGGGAGCTTGTCCTGCTGGAAGACCCATCACCTTTGACGGAGACCCAACATTCTGACACTGGGCCCTACATTGCACCCCAGAATTCTTTGGTAGTCTTCAGATTTCATAATGCCATGCACATGGTCAAGACATCCAGCAAAGCAACCCCAAAACATCAGTGACCCCCCCCACCATGTGAACTGTAGGAACTATATTCTTTTCTTTAACCTCCCTGGCGGTAATCCCGAGTGTAGCTCGGGGTTAACTTTCAGTAACAGAAGCGGTGACCCCGAGCAACACTCGGGATTACAGTGCAGCAGTCCCTTGAGTGCTTACCTTGTCCTGCGTCCCCATCCATGTCCTATGGCCGATTCCGGGTTCCGTTCTCTGTGAGCGTTGGGACGTACGGGGGGCAGAACCGTTGGGAAATTCAAAAAAGTTACAATGTCACACACACAATACATTGTAATATATTAGTATTACATTACTGTATCAATCCATTTCACTTCAGATTTGTCCCCAGTGCTTTGTCCAGTGCCATGCCTGTACTTTGACCGTTCTTTCTGCCATGGCATCCAAAAAGCGTCCCTGTATGCCAAAAGCGGTTTTGGACCAGCTAGAAGACAGCGACCGTGAATTAGAATCCACACTTGCAGAATTGAGCGACAGTGATTTGTGGGGAAATTTGTCATCAGACATTGAAAGTGAGGACAGCGACGATTCTGCGACTGAGCTCAGTGATGTGCGAACTTGATGCACTATTGACTGTGGTATGGATCAGGCAGCGCCCCCAAGATTCCTATTTACTGGAGCACCTGGTATGAAGGTAGACGTCGAACATGACAACCCCTTGGCGTACTTACAATTATTTCTGACCAATGAGGTTATTGAAAAAATTGTTACTGAGGCAAACCGGTACCAAGAACAACAATTGGCTACTCTGCGTCTGAGGTTTTCAAGAAGTAGAAAGTGGGAACCAGTGACCAAAGATGACATTTGGAAATTTCTCGGCCTAATAATACTTCAGGGAGTGGTGGGGAAACCCCTGCAGAAGTGGTATTGGACAACCAATAAATTACTTGCTACTCCATTCTTTGGCACGGTCCTGTCAGAGTACAGATTTTCCCTGATCATTAAATTTTTACACTTGTATTTCAATGTTTTTATTAATTTCTAAACAGTTTAAGACAAGAGCAACAAAACACGGCCACGCAGGGGCTATCAATTGCACATAAAAAAAAACAGTGCTCTAACACCAACCGAGCAAAAGGTGCGCCCACGCAGGGGCTATCAATGGCACATAAATGACAAAAACATTAGTATAACTCCGATAGTAACTCAAACTAAAGGCAGCTATCCACCGCCACACCAAAAACAAACAGAACAAGAAAAGGAAAGAGGAGTACAAAAGGAAAAAGATATCAAGACCAAGAGCTGGGGTCCAAGAACGCCAACACCGATCAATATTGCAACCCCAGACTAGCCTGGGGGAGCGTGGGAAAAGCATATTGCAACCACGGCTCCCATATTTTCAAGAATTTCCGTTGGGAGTCGTTACAGATACTCATTGACCATCATAGTAGTCCTACTGTCCCGAACCCACTGAAAAGGGACAAACGGGCGCTTCCGTGCCTGAGCAATTTGGAAATTTTTGCACTTTGAAAACAACAAAGAATTTGACGAAGATACTCATCCTGCACCAAAACTAAAGAAAATTTGGGAAGTATCTCAAATGATTCTAAAGAATTTCCAACGGAGCTATGTGCAAGAAAGAGATATCGGCATAGATGAAAGTCTAATGGCCCACAAGGAAAGGCTCAGCTGGGTGCATCAAAGAGAGCACGTTTTGGCATAAAATCCTACATGCTATGTGAATTGTCAACTGGCTACATTTGGAATTCAGTCATATACACTGGAAAAGGAACTAAATTCAATCCAAAATACAGCTATGGAATGGCAACATCTTCCGTTCTTTCAGTAATTGACCCATTGCGAAATCAGGGCTATTGCGTAAAAACCGACAACTTTTATACATCTCCTGAACTTTATGAGTTTCTTCTGCAAAACAAAACAGATGCCTATGGAACCATTACGGCTAACTGGCTCGACATGCCGCCAATGTTTGGCAATAGGAAGCTGAAGACTGGAGAAATGGTTGCCTGGCAGGCAAAATGATGGCACTGCGAGGGCGTGACAAGAAAGATGTGCGCCTAATGGGTACGATTCATAATACCTCCACTGTTATTCTGGTACGCACAAAAGGTGGGACAGAAATCCTGAAGCCACAAGTAGTGATAGACTACAATAACACCATGGGAGGTGTTGACAGAGCCGACCAAGCAATGACATTCTACCCAGCAAAGAGGAAACAGCAAAAAAGTACTACAAGAATATCTTCAGACATCTTCTTGACCAATGCTTGTGGAATGCCTACATTCTGCTCCAAAAAAAAAGAGTTACTGCGATTCATTCGGACTTCAGTTGGAAAAGTGCGAACGTATCTTTGTAAACCACCAAACGCCATCAACGGCTGTGAATAGAGGTCGACGTGCTGTTGGCGTTGTCAACCCAGAACACTTCATGGACTATATCCCACCAACTGTTGGCTTTGTCAACCCAGAACACTTCATGGACTATATCCCACCAACTGTTGGCTTTGTCAACCCAGAACACTTCATGGACTATATCCCACCAACTGTTGGCTTTGTCAACCCAGAACACTTCATGGACTATATCCCACCAACTGTTGGCTTTGTCAACCCAGAACACTTCATGGACTATATCCCACCAACTGTTGGCTTTGTCAACCAGGACACTTCATGGACTATATCCCACCAACTGTTGGCTTTGTCAACCCAGAACACTTCATGGACTATATCCCACCAACTGTTGGCTTTGTCAACCCAGAACACTTCATGGACTATATCCCACCAACTGTTGGCGTTGTCAACCCAGAACACTTCATGGACTATATCCCACCAACTGTTGGCTTTGTCAACCAAGAACACTTCATGGACTATATCCCATCCCACCAACTGTTGGCTTTGTCAACCCAGAACACTTCATGGACTACTATATCCCACCAACTGTTGGCGTTGTCAACCCAGAACACTTCATGGACTGTATCCCACCAACTGTTGGCGTTGTCAACCCAGGAACACTTCATGGACTGTATCCCACCAACTGTTGGCTTTGTCAACCCAGAATGACTGACTGGTTGATACTTCATGGACTACATCCCACAACCGAGAAAAAGTCCGCACCTACTAGGATGTGCGTGGTTTGTTGCTCGAAGCGAGATGACCGTGGAAGGAAAATCAGAAAGGAAACCAGGTTCCATTGTCCTGATTGTGACGTCAGAGTTTTGTGCAGTTCCATGTTTCAAAAATTTTTCGTACCCGGGAGGTTTACTAAACTAATATTGCATCCTTGTTTGGACAAATGTCAATGTTTTTGGATTGATTATTATTACAGGTACCTTTTTTTTATAGCGCTGTCAATTTACGCAGTGCTTTACATGTATATATACATTACATTCAGCCCCTAGCCCTCATCTAAGGTCCCTAACCCTCAAGGGGTGTACAATCTAAGGTCCCTAACTCACATTCATACATACACATACTAGGGCCAATTTAGACCGGAGATAATTTACCTACCAACATGAGTTTGGAGTGTGGGAGGAAACTGGAGTACCCAGAGGAAATCCATGCAGGCACAGGGAGAACAAACTCCAGGCAGGTGGTGCGTGGTTGGGATTCGAACCAATGACCCTAGTACTGCCAGGCGGAAGTGCTAACCATTTAGCCACTGTGCTGCCCAGATTACATTATTGAATTAAATTTATTATTATAAGATTATTTTTTATAATTATTATAATTTTTTTTTCTGATTTCGTGTTTCAAACTTTCTCATACCCGGGATGTTTACTAGACTCTTGTTTTGGACTTTAAGTGAGTTATTCCTAAACCTACAATATAAAACAAATTTCCATGCAAAACAATGTATCGCTTTGGATTAAAAAATACTGACATCATCAGACCGCCAGGGAGGTTAAATGCCTCATTGCTTTTTCTGAAAACCGTAGATTGATGGGCTTTACCAAAAAGCTGTCATTTAGTTTCGTCTGTCCACAACACATTCTCCTAAAAGGGTTTTGGCTTCTTCAGGTCAGTTTTGGCAAACTCCAATCTGGCTTTTTTATGTCTCTGTGTCAGCAGTGGGGCCCTCCTGGGTCTCCTACCATATTTCTGTGTCAGCAGTGGGGTCCTCCTGGGTGTCCTACCATATTTCCGTGTCAGCAGTGGGGTCCTCCTGGGTGTCCTACCATATTTCTGTGTCAGCAGTGGGGTCCTCCTGGGTCTCCTACCATATTTCCTTGTCAACAGTGGGGTCCTCCTGGGTCTCCTACCATATTTCTGTGTCAGCAGTGGGGTCCTCCTGGGTGTCCTACCATATTTCTGTGTCAGCAGTGGGGTCCTCCTGGGTCTCCTACCATATTTCTGTATCGGCAGTGGGGTCCTCCTGGGTCTCCTACCATATTTCTGTGTCGGCAGTGGGGTCCTCCTGGGTCTCCTACCATATTTCTGTGTCAGCAGTGGGGTCCTCCTGGGTGTCCTACCATATTTCCGTGTCAGCAGTGGGGTCCTCCTGGGTGTCCTACCATATTTCTGTGTCAGCAGTGGGGTCCTCCTGGGTCTCCTACCATATTTCCGTGTCGGCAGTGGGGTCCTCCTGGGTCTCCTACCATATTTCCGTGTCGGCAGTGGGGTCCTCCTGGGTCTCCTACCATATTTCTGTGTCGGCAGTGGGGTCCTCCTGGGTCTCCTACCATATTTCTGTGTCGGCAGTGGGGTCCTCCTGGGTCTCCTACCATATTTCTGTGTCGGCAGTGGGGTCCTCCTGGGTCTCCTACCATATTTCTGTGTCGGCAGTGGGGTCCTCCTGGATCTCCTACCATATTTCTGTGTCGGCAGTGGGGTCCTCCTGGGTCTCCTACCATATTTCTGTGTCGGCAGTGGGGTCCTCCTGGGTCTCCTACCATATTTCTGTGTCGGCAGTGGGGTCCTCCTGGGTCTCCTACCATATTTCTGTGTCGTCGCAGTGGGGTCCTCCTGGGTCTCCTACCATATTTCTGTGTCGGCAGTGGGGTCCTCCTGGATCTCCTACCATATTTCTGTGTCGGCAGTGGGGTCCTCCTGGGTCTCCTACCATATTTCTGTGTCGGCAGTGGGGTCCTCCTGGATCTCCTACCATATTTCTGTGTCGGCAGTGGGGTCCTCCTGGATCTCCTACCATATTTCTGTGTCAGCAGTGGGGTCCTCCTGGATCTCCTACCATATTTCTGTGTCGGCAGTGGGGTCCTCCTGGATCTCCTACCATATTTCTGTGTCGGCAGTGGGGTCCTCCTGGGTCTCCTACCATATTTCTGTGTCGGCAGTGGGGTCCTCCTGGGTCTCCTACCATATTTCTGTGTCGGCAGTGGGGTCCTCCTGGGTCTCCTACCATATTTCTGTGTCGGCAGTGGGGTCCTCCTGGATCTCCTACCATATTTCTGTGTCGGCAGTGGGGTCCTCCTGGGTCTCCTACCATATTTCTGTGTCGGCAGTGGGGTCTCCTGGATCTCCTACCATATTTCTGTGTCGGCAGTGGGGTCCTCCTGGATCTCCTACCATATTTCTGTGTCAGCAGTGGGGTCCTCCTGGATCTCCTACCATATTTCTGTGTCAGCAGTGGGGGTCCTCCTGGATCTCCTACCGTAGTGTCCCTTTTCATTCAGATGGTGACGTATAGTGCGAGCCGAAACAGTTGTACCCTGTGGCTGAAGGTCAGCTGGAATTTGTCTGGAAATTGATCGAGGTTCTTTATCCACCATTCACAACAATCCTTTGTTGCAATCTTTGATCAAGTTTTCTCTTTTGTCCACGTCTAGGGAGATTAGCTACAGTGCCATGGGCTGTAGATTTCTTTACAATGTTGTGCACAGTGGACACAGGAACATTAAGATCTCTGTAGATGGACTTGTAACCTTGAGATTGTCCATGCTTTTCCTCAATTTTTGTTCTCCAATCCCCAGACAATTCTTTGCTGCTCTTTCTGTTCTCCATGCTCCATGTGGCACACAAAGACACACAACAAAAAGGTGGAGTCCATTTTTCACCATTTTATCTGGTTGCCGGTGTGATCTCTATATTGTCAGCACCTGGTCATTGATACAGGGGAGTTTAATGACAAATTACAGGACGTCACAAGCTTCCAATGCAATTATTTCTTACAATTTTGAGACGGGTGCCAATAATTTTGACCAATCCATTTTTGGGGTTTTGCATGAAATGTGTCAGATTTGGCTTTGTTTCTGCACTTTTTTGTGTCCTACCAACCAAAGAAATAAACAGGAGAATGCTGAAACATTTGTAATTGCAACAGTTTTCCGGGTGAAGTAGTGCATCATCAGGGGGGACAAAAGTTTTGGGCATGATTGTACATCGCTTACTTGATATACCAGATTATCTGGTGGAAAGGCGTAGTTGCTTTTTTACATTTTTTTTTTTTCTATCATTGCGTATTCCAGTGCCATGAAGGTGGACGATTTTATCGAACGACTTTTTAAAGTCTACAGACACGTTTTGCATGAAGGTCTGGCACAGGTATATTAGCAATTCTTATAACCTGCATATATGGCAGTATGTCCACTTCTCACTTTGTGTATCTAAATCTGATCTGTTTGGTGTTTTTAGTCTGTGTTTTTAGGCATCAATCGATCGGATTATATGTTTGACTGCAAAGAAGATGGGACAACGGCGCTGAAGCAGATTGAGATTAATACCATCGCTGCAAGTTTCGGAGGCCTCTCATCAAGGACGCCTGCAGTTCACCAGTAAGAAAGGGATTAGAGGGAAGGAAGTGGTTAATGTGCTTGCCTCCTTCTAAGCCTCTATAATACCTAATGCCTAGTTCACAGGATGAGAAAATCGGACGAAAAATACAGATTTTTGGAGCGATCGTCCAATAATATGATCGTGGCTTTCGAGAGCCGTTCACAACAGTTTATGCGAAATAAATCCGAACAGACCAGCACGAAAAATGAACAATGTTCATTTAATCAGTACAGTATTCAACCTGAAAAAAATCGAGTGACCTGCGCATGCTCAGGAACAAAAGAATACAATTCATCTCTTCCGAAGTTGTATTCTGTCATACGTGAAGTTTTGTAACTTTAATAACTTCTTCATTTTCAGTCTGAAACTAGCAAACAAAAAACCACGGACGATCATTCCTCCTATAGTCTCATTGTGTGCTTGAGGCTTAAAGGATAAGTTCACCTTTGGTTCCACCTGTCTTTAGGGTGGCACATGTAACATGTTCCCATAGCTGCAGCCACGCCCTCCCTGTGACAGTACAGGGAGACTTCTCCCCATACTATCTGCCAAATTTGAAACCGGCTCGGCCGTGCGAGGCTCCGCCCAGACAGATGAGTCATTCATTCATGGACTTCCATGAATGAATGAACTGCAAGTCCCATCAACCTTAGCGGGCTGTGGGCTTGTAGTTTTCAGTGAACTACAACGGGACTGTGGAGCGCTGTGGTAGTTCATTGAAGCTTCCTGTCAGAATATCTGCTTGGCCGTACATCCCGTACCCCATACATCCTGTCCATCCCTGTAGACCCCGTAGATCCTGTAGACCCCATACATCCTGTACATCCCTGTAGACCCCATACATCCCTGTAGACCCCATACATCCTGTCCATCCCTGTAGACCCCGTAGATCCCTGTAGACCCCATACATCCTGTACATCCCTGTAGACCCCATACATCCCTGTAGACCCCACATCCCTGTAGACCCCATACATCCCTGTAGACCCCCATACATCCCTACGTCCCTGTAGACCCCATAGATCCCTGTACATCCCCATAGATCCCCATACATAGACCCCATACATCCTGTACATCCCTGTAGACCCCATACATCCCGTACATCCCTGTAGACCCCATACATCCTGTACATCCCGTACATCCCTGTAGACCCCATAGATCCCTGTAGACCCCATACATCCTGTAGTACATCCCTGTAGACCCCATACATCCTGTACATCCCGTACATCCCTGTAGACCCCATACATCCCGTACCCCGTACATCCCTGTAGACCCCATACATCCCGTACGTCCTGTAGACCCCATAGATCCCGTAGACCCCATACATCCCTGTAGACCCCATACATCCTGTACATCCTGTACGTCCCCGTAGACCCCGTACATCCCCGTAAACCCCATACATCCCTGTACACCCCATACATCCCTGTAAACCCCATACATCCTGTACATCCCCATACGTCCCTGTAAACCCCATACATCCTGTACATCCCGTACGTCCCTGTAGACCCCATACATCCTGTACATCCAGTACGTACCTGTAGACCCCATACATCCTGTACATCCCATACATCCCTGTAGACCCCCATACATCCTGTACATCCCGTACATCCCATACATCCCTGTACACCCCATACATCACATATATCCTGTACATCCCATATGGCAAGCAGATATCCTGACAGGTCTGCAGGAGACCTGCATGGCATCAGCCATCTACTGATTACTGGTGCAATGCTTTCCAGACAAAAATAATAAATGCACATTTTTGTACCTGCAAAATAATGTGCATTTATTATTTTTGTCCAAAAGATGAACTTATCCTTTTAAGGCTGGCCATACACTATACAATCTCCTTTATATCCACTATCAACTATGTAGTGCAGGGGTCTGTGTGCTTTGATACTAATTGAATGGATTGCTTAGGTTTGTCTACATATTACATACTTTTGGTAACTCTAAGGGAGGCCATACAGGATTCATTTTTTTTTTTTCCTTCAACCAGCGGATTGAACGAAAAAAAGAGAGCCGATTCCCCCATCCACACATTTGAGGTGGATGGGGGAATCCTTCCGACTGTGTGATCCTATTCTGCTGGTAGGGACACTTTCCTGCTGGCAGAATACAATGATCAATGTTCTCAGCTATAGCTGGCAGCACTGATCATTCGATAGGCTGACTATACACAAGGCGATTGATAGGTCTACTTGTTGACTCCAGATATAGATTGTATATGTAGGCCCTCATACCACATAGTTGTTGGTAAATCCAAAGGTGATTAAATGGTCACATTGTATAGTGTACAGCCAACATAAAATGAAATTATAACTCTGTAAAAAATAAAAAAAAGTCGTCCATAGGCCCTTTTAGCCGTGATGTGTTATGTACAGTGCAACATTTTTTTTTTCCTAGACATGTACTGAGGACCTTGGGGAAGTCGGAGGAAGCCCGTAAAATTCTGTCAAACGACCCGTCCCTTGGGATATCCCGCGGTATTGCAAAGGCTTGGGAACTGTACGACTCGCAGAAGTAAGTGTCTGCTCTGAGCCTTGTGATGGTAAAGGATCTGTCCACCCAAACTGATATTTGGCGCATGCTGGAGACATTATTTTTATATCCATTTTATGTATGGGGAGATTTCTTAGTTGTTGTTTTCAGGATGTTTAGGAAGTCAAAGGCTGATTCAGACCACCACATTTTACCAAAAACCGGGGGTCAACTACCGATGGATCGTGATCTATAAGTAGGTCTCGGCCCGGTGACTGGTAGATGGCGGACTGGGCTTACTGACCCGTCATCCTGGAGCATCAGAGGGACTACTTGTAAAGGTGGAGCTGTAGTAGAGAGCAAGAGCAGCATAATCCGATTCCTCCTCTGTAATTCCGGCTCCTGTCCCATGCTGAGTGACACCAACTGCACTCCACCTCTTATCCCGGCTAGTGGCCTCCAGAGTGGTGCCAGCAGCATGGCTAATCACAGGTTTGCTGCGTTTTGCCATAGACTTCTATTATATCCCGTGGGTTTGGTGCCCTCCTGAATGCAGCAGAAAATGCATTCAGAAAATACGTCAATCTCTGGTGCCTGTGCTGACGGAGTGACCTCCTGCGTTCACAATGCAGAGAGATAAAAACCAGCAGGTCCTGTAGTAATACACAGCAAATTACAGAGTAAAAAACACTCCCTATCACATAGTTAACCCTTTGAGCACCCCAGATGTTAACCCCTTCCTGCCCAGTGCCATTAGTACAGTGTCAGTGCTTTTTGTTGGCACTGATCACCGTATTGGTGTCACTGGGGATGCCAATGGCAGTTAATGAGTTCCCACCCCAGTGTCAGTTAGTGTCAGAATGCCCGCCGCAGTCCCACAATAAGTCGCTGATCGACACCATTACCAGTATAAAAAAAAAAATACAGATTCCAGTATATATACCATTGTTGGTAATTTTCACACAAACCAACGGATATACACTTGTTGGAATTGTTTTTTTTTTTTTTTCACCAATGACCTGTAGCAGAATACATTTTGGCCTGAATTTTAGGAAGAAATTGTAGTTTTATTTTTTTTCATCAGATATGTTTTTATAGAAAAAATGGTTAAAAAAAATTAAATATATATATATATATATATATATATACAGTCATGGCCGAAATTGTTGGCACCCTTGATATTTTTCCTGAAAATCAAGTATTTCACACACAAAAAAGGTATTGCATTAACACATGTTTTGCTATACACATGTTTATTCCCTTTGTAGTATAAAACAAATATAAAAACAGAGGCAGAAAAGCAAATATGACATAATGTCACACAAAACCCCAAAAATGGGCTGGACAAAAGTATTGGCTAACTTAATATTTGGTTGCACACCCTTTGGAAAACATAACTGAAATCAGTCGCTTCCTATAACCATCAATAAGCTTCTGACACCTCTCACCCCGGAATTTTGGACCACTCTTCCTTTGCAAACAGCTCCAGGTCTCTCTTATTGGAAGGACAAACTTTTCCAACAGCAATTTTAAGATCTCTCCACAGGTGTTCAATGGGATTTAGATCTGGGCTCATTGCTGGCCACTTCAGAACTCTCCAGCGCTTCTTTGCCATCCATTTCTGAGTGCTTTTTGACGTATGTTTGGGGTCATTGTCCTGCTGGAAGACCCAGGATCTTGGACGCAAAACCCAGCTTTCTGACACTGGGCCCTACAGTGCGACCCAAAATCCTTTGGTAATCCTCAGATTACATGATGCCTTGCACACAGTCAAGGCACCCAGTGCCAGAGCAGCAAAACAACCCCAAAACATCATTGAACCTCCACCATATTTTACCGTAGGTACTGTGTTTTTGTTCTTTGTAGGCCTCATTCCGTTTTCGGTAAACAGTAGAATGATGTGCTTTACCGAAAAGCTCTATCTTGGTCTCATCTGTCCACAAGACGTTTTCCCAGAAGGCTTTTGGCTTACTCAAAGTACATTTTGGCAAACTGTAGTCTTGCTTTTTTATGTCTCTGTGTCAGCAGTGGGGTCCTCCTGGGTCTCCTGCCATAGCGTTTCATTTCATTTAAATGTCGACGGATAGTTCGCGCTGACACTGAGTCCCTGAGCCTGCAGGACAGCTTGAATGTCTTTGGAACATGTTTGGGGCTGCTTATCCACCATCCGGACTATTCTGCGTTGCAATCTTTCATCAATTTTCCTCATCCGTCCACGACCAGGGAGATTAGCTACAGTGCCATGGGTTGCAAACTTCTTGATAATGTTGCGCACTGTGTGGACAAAGGCAAATCTAGTTCTCTGGAGATGGACTTGTAACCTTGAGATTGTTGATATTTTGCCACAATTTTGGTTCTCAGGTCCTCAGACAGTTCTCGTCTCCTCTTTCTGTTGTCCATGCTTAGTGTGGCACAGACAGACACACAATGCAAAGGTTAAAGATGTGAACGTCTCTCCTTTTTATCTGCTTTCAGGTGTGATTTCTATATATTGCCCACACCTGTTACTTGCCCCAGGTGAGTTTACAGGAGCATCACATGCTTGTAACATTCTTATTTATCCGCAGTTGTGAAAGGGTGCCAATACTTTTGTCCAGCCCATTTTTGGAGGTTTGTGTGACATTATGTCGAATTTGCTTTCTTTCCTCCCTTTTTTTGTTTTGTCCCAATACACACAAAGGGAATAAACATGTGTATAGCAAAACATGTGTTAATGCAATACGTTTCGTGAGAAAATACATGATTTCCTGGAAAATATCAAGGGTAATTTCGGCCATGACTGTATATATATATATATATATATATATATATATATATATATATATATATATTTTTTTTACTTTTGGTCTTTTTTCATTTAGAGCGCATAAAATAAAAACCTAGAGGTGATCAAATACCACCAGAAGAAAGCCCTATTTGTGTGAAAACAATTATATTAATTTTCTTTGTGTGCAGTGTTGCATGACCGTGCAATTGTCACTTAAAGTAGTGCAGCGTCTTATAGCAATAAAAAATAAAATGGCCTGGTCATGGAGGGCAAGTGGTTAATAGGAAAGCAGGGGGACTTGGCAGGATCACCAGGGATTTCACACAAAGGAAGCAATACAAAGAGAACAGGAGACTTTTTCATACCAGTAGACGGTACAACAGCTCATATCAGGAATAGGAAATGCTGGGTTTACACAGGGCAGTGACACGATATGAACAGGTTTAGTTTATTTGTCCTATGTGGCTGCTTCCATCAGAGCCTTTTCACACAGATACATATCAGGTTCCATTTAAATTGTTTCTTTTTCATCACAGGGCTGTTGTCATGTTCTTGGTTGAGAATGTGCAGAGGAACATTTTCGATCATCGTTACATTGAGAATGAACTGTGGAACAGGTAACATTTTACAGTTGCTGTGTTTTTGTTTTTTTTTTGTTTGCTTTTTTGTTTTTAATATTGAAGTCCTGATCCCAAATATATATTCTTCAGTAGGCTTTAAATCTACTGTTGTGTGCACCAAAAGCCTTTGTAGGGCCAGCTATTACCTTGTAAAAGGAGCAATGACATCATCACTGTGTCACTGCACCCCCAGCATGCTTCATTAACCTACCAGCAGGACTCTGGAAGGAGGAAACCAGATTAACCAAAAGGAAACCCAGCCACACTGATATGTCTAATATGGTTAATCTGGTTTCCTCCTTCCTGAGTCCTGCTGGTAGGTTAATGAATGTCTAAATTGGCTCAATATGTGTATCAATGCATGTGAGCGAAGGACCTTAGATTGTAAGCTCCTCGGGGGCAGGACCAATGTGAATGGGACGGTATGTAGAGCACTGTTTAAATTATCACCTTATGTATAAACGCTTGTTAAAAGTAAGTATATCTCAAGTGGACTTTTGAAATTGGACTTTGGTATTAGCCTCCTGTACAGCAGAGCTCAGACTGATGGGAGGGAAAAGCAGTACAAGGAGCCAGTCAGTTGTGTAGCAGTGCATGACGCCTGTTGATAGGGGAAAGCAGAGTGGCAGAGAGATGTGCTAATCAACCTGTTCTTTCCCCTTTCACTGTCCAGTCACAGGCTGGGGAGCGGAAAAGACCCATAAGCATTGCCTAATTGCAGCAGATAAATGTCAGGTCTCCTGCCCTTTCAGACTGGGCTGTGCTGTGTGGCAGAGCCATGTAAATCCCAGGACTGCATGGAGAGAACTACAAGTCATTTGATAGGGCCATTGTATGTTTCTCTGTGTATTAACTGCTTCCATGAAGTTCAGCTTTAAGACAACCAGAGTTCATTCCTCTTTTG